AAGGTACTAATTCTGCTCGGTTATTTACACCTGGGGAATGGAAAGCATTAGCGAAGTCTAAATTTCATCAATAATCGCGGGCGTGTGAATATGGTTCATGCATGTGTGTCATAAGTGGACCTCCCACTGTACGCAAGATTTCAATTTTCAAAAACAATATTTAGATAATCGTTTCATACAATCAGGGGCGAAACTACCGGGGGTGTTGGGGGGGGGGGGGGGGGAGGAAGTTGACTGGACCGAAATTACTCAACCATTTGAACTTATTTTATTGTATTAAGAGATCCCCCAGTAAGTAAAAACAGTTTATTGGCAAAAACAATTTTAATAGTTGAACGAACATTTCAAAACATTTTACGAAACGATTCAGGTTAATTTAAATTTTACATTAATTAAATCAAAGCGCACAAAATGAAAAATAACATACCTATAGTACATATTTCGGAAATTATTGTCGTATAGTTAAAATTACTAATCTTTCAACTTTCTTTCCGTTTTGTACAAAAAATAATAAAAATTAAACAATTTAAAATTATTGTGTTGCCATGGAAACACTTGACGTACAACGCGATCCTGCGTTTAGTTTTGGTAAATAGCTAATTCACTTCATGTCAAATCAATGTTTAGAAAATATAGGCGAGAGGTCGCTGCATGCTGATGTATTTCTAGTTTTAAAAAAATATTGGGCAAGAAACCTACCAGAAAACACAGCAGAATTGTCATTTAGTTTCTTATAACAGTGCATCTACATTGCTTTTAATTAATTACCTTTTCCCACCACTCGCGTACAGAGCTATTTCCAACCCCTTGAGAGACGGACTTGAACCAAAACTACTTTTTACATAATATTTGCTTTTTCAGAAGCCGAAATTATACCAACAACGCCGACAACATTACGTAAGTAGATATTTTTTGAATTACGAAATTTACACCATGAGAAACGTTTTTGCAGGGCAGATTTAAAAATGAGTGAAAAATATTAAGCGAAACTGCGAAACATTTTCATTACCGTGCAACACCCATAACGCTTTGGTTTTCCTTTTCTTCCTAGAAACCTCTCTTTTTCATTTAATTACGTTCAAAATCAAATTAATAATCAATTGAACAGGTCTCAGCCAATCAGAATTACAAATAATAAATGTTTATGGCATATTTTAATGAGGTGAAAGATGGAATTTTCCATTCCATGAAAATATTTTTTTACTCTTGCACAAATGAAAACATTCATTGATTGTTTCATATAACACCAAAATTGAATTTTTAAATTAATTAAAATACAAAACAAAATACATACCTCAGTTACGTGTACAATGTTCAAAATAATAAAAATCTAAAATAAAAATCCCAAAAATACTTTAGTAAAGAATTCATAATTATATCATTCCAATAGCGTCCATTTAACTCTCAACAGTATCGTAAAAATAATACTTTACACCCACCGTTCTGCCTCGCACGAATTATGTGTTTTTGCATTAAATCCATCGACCTCGATGACAATACGAATAGGATTGCGATGACGATACGAATTTAAATGATTGAATTAAAAGAAAACCTTACTGTGCAATGGAAGAAAACGTAGCCAATAGTACTAACATGCACGACTAAGCATGCAATGGAACGCGTTAATTCACCAAAATGGTAACTTTTATTCCATATCACGTGATCGTATAATCCGGCAATGAAATGACCGTAATTCATTATTATAACGACCGTAATTGTTATATGATATTCATATTTAACTGGAGTATTTGTTTATTTTCCCCAAACTAACATATATAGTACAAAGTATAAAATACAAATAAATGAAAGTATATAATCTAATTTAGATTACTATACATTTTCAATTCTTAGAGAAAATACTAGAAAAAAGCATCCGTATTACCAGTATGGAATGGAATGATAACTTAAAAGTTAAAACGTCAAAGGAGTTCAAGGAAGCTTCGGCACTCATCATTAAATCGGTTTGTAAAATTACAGAATTATCAGCACAAATGAAACTTTCATCTTAATTTCAATCAACAAATGCAAACAACAACGAAGTATTTCTCCAGAAGAAGATTCGAACAGTCTAGCTAGACCGATATACAGGGGCCGCGGAACCGGAGGGTGGGAGTGGCAATGGGGGCATGTGCACCCCCTCCTCGGCTTTTTTTTTAAAAGTTAGAAAAATGCCCTTTTTTCCGGACTAAAGTGCCCCATTTAAAGAACGAAAAAAGTAGTTCTTGAATGAACGCCCTCTTTTACTGGAAAGAAAGTGCCCTTTTTGCAGTGGTGAGACTCTGTAAAGGCCATTTCCGACGTTATAGAGACTCCATATTTTCAAAAATTTTCGTTCGGCTCGTGAACGACATAAAATCGTTTGATTTTGGTCATATCTACAAAAGTGCCTCTTTGGGCCAATGCCCCTCCACTTTCAAAAGGCTTCCGCGGCCTCTGCCGATATAAATCCGGTTATGCGAGTTCATATCTCTCTTCAGTCAATTTTACCTTTTTTGTTGTTATTTGCATGCAATGTCCGTAATGAGTTTTAAGTACATGTATAGTATTGATTTTCTCAATAATTTGGAATGTCGTTCATGCATATGACAGAATTGGAATTGAATGAACTAGTTAGTTGCCCTATATTTTTAAATTTTCTTCTTAATTAGCAATGACTTGTTTATAACTTAGTATATGGAGATTGTTAGCTCTAATTTATACCATTAACAAATTCCCATTTTAAACTTAGTCTTAGATATGCTAATGTTTCCTCAGGTGACAGATTTGTACGAAAACAACGACGATAGTCAAGAAGGTGAAGCATTACGAGAAGTGAAAGTGACAAAACTAAGGTATAATATTTCTATAGTTATTAACGTAAATACTAAAGCTGAATCAATTGAGTATAAGTTGAATAAAAAAAAACAGTCAAAATATATCTGTCTTTGAAAGTAAAAACTTTAGCTACGAAAGTTCCGTGCACAAATACAGAGGACATGTACACAAACAATTTCTTATACTGCATTTTAGAGAGGGAAGTGTCATTGCTGATTTAGTACTGGTATTCAATCCCATGTTTGCGAGAAATGAGAACATTTCTAAACCGCTTATGGATGCTATAAGCAATGGAAATATTGGGCAGTTGAAAGTTGATAAGAGTTATAAAGGTATTGTATATACTGATTCATATATGCAGATCAAAAGATGGATCTATATATATGGCTTTAAGCAAACGTAGGCCACGGTCTCCCGTCAGTTAGAATTTATAATTGTTTATAAAATAGTCTGCAATCTGGCTCACTACACTGCAGAAAACGCCTAGCCGTAACAATGTTGTTGAAAACAGACCTGAACAATATTTTGCTGCCCATATTGTTCCTGGTTGTTCAAGATTATGTCCACTCCTGTGCACATACGCGAACTTTGTTTACGTTTTGAACTGCTATATTTGTAAAATATGATATACTAACTGAATATCTAACACTTTTCTGGTTCGCTTTACTTGTAAATGAATATAAACTATATGTTTCAATTCAAAAAAGTTCGAAAGATGCAAAATTTGGGCAATGTTTGTATCTGGGGGTCCACCTTTGTTATGAGCAGAACTGATGCGCAGAACGGAGTGGACATCATCTTTAACAATAATGTTCAGCGTTGTTCACCTGAACTTTTTATATAGTTATTATATAAAGTATAGTGCTTTATAGAGATTTCGAGCACTGATAAAAGTGATAATCTCACATGTGAGATTATTCATGATAATCTCACATGTGAAAATTATCGCTTTTCAATTAATTATCGCTTTTCTGTAAAAATTATCGCTTTTCAAAGATCGTCCTTTATATAATAAACAGAAAAATACATGGGTGCTTGGAAATACCAGATTTATTTCTCGTGTTGAACATGATATCTCACTCGTTCGCTGCGCTCATGCACTCGTGAGATATCATGTTCAACACTCGAAATAAATCTATTTCCGCGCACCCATGTATTATATATGTACTGTTTAATAAACGAGCAGGAGTGTTTTATTAGGTTTAGGTTTAAACACGACTACAAATTCAATAGATACTGCCTTATTAGTATTCTTTAAATAAAGCATACTAATTAGGACACGACTACAATAGATACTGCCTTATTAGTATTCTTTAAATAAAGCATACTAATTAGGAGTGTTTTATCAGGTTTAAAGCCACTGCACGTGACATATTATGGTTGACATGATTTGCCAATAAGCTTATGAATTATTAATGAGTGTTTGAATCTCTACTGATTTAATATTTCCTAGACAAAACAAGTGCTTATTGACTTCACTTCTATAACTATGAAGAGTTTTCACTTTTAATAAATCAGTTTTGTCAAAAAAATTATATTCTTTATTTCTGATCTCCGCTCATGAATGTTTTTATCTTCTCTCTTTCGGCATTATTTTTTCAAAAGTATATATTTTTATTAGTTTAAATATAAAAAAGTATTTGCTGACCTGTAAACAGTTGCTCGCTGGGACGGTTTTTTATTGCTGTTATGGCTATAAAGAGAGAATAACTTGCTGTTTCTCGTTCGCAAAATTCCGGTAATTCTTGTTTTCTCTATTACCAGGATATAAGCTAACATACTGCTAGTATAGAAAGACAATCAGATTGCAGAACAGGTTATATCCGGCAGCTCTGTCTATTTAACAATTACTGAGACAACGAGGCTAATTGTTTTAGCATATACAATCCTATATACTCAAAATACAAACTCCATGAGGCACAACTTGAAATATTTAAATAAAATTTAAAACTGCTCGCTGGCATTTGAAATATTTTTTTAACATTTGCATGCTTCGCCGGCAGCATTTTTGTTTTTGCAAACAACCCGACGGAAGGTTTTTTAAAAATACAAAGCTCGTGAGCTTTGAAAATATTTTAAAACAGGCTAAAAAACAATCATAATGGAAAATATATACAAGCGATGTTTTCATAATGATAAGAGGACGAAACAAGACTTAAAAGTCCAGAACTTAAGATGTTTTCAAACTGTAAACAATATGGTTTCCCGAAATATTGCAGTAGCTCACGTTTAAAAAGAAGTATAAAGTACATGCACGCAACGAAATTCTAATGTCGTTGAAATCGATGAAATACATGAAAAATTAACTATAAAAAACAATAAAATTGTGTGGAAAATCTATAAGGAAAGTAAGTTGTTTTTTGGCGGGAAATGTCGAAGCACAAACAGACCATTTAAAGAGGGAAAAGCTTTAAAATATTACTGCTATAAACATAAAATCACATTTTAAACAAAAAAACACTTAAAAGACGAGGAAATATATGATTAAGTATAACTCCAAGCTGAAAATTCATCGGTTTTGCTTCTATTAACATGCACAAACGATGTGCTCAGCAATTCCGTCTGTCTTCGTGCATGCACGCTGTCACATTTTTTGGCAGCAGATTAACTGTTAAAATACGGTTTAGAATTTGCTCCCTGCCATTAAACGTCTTTAGATAATATTGTGTAGTCTTTTTTGTATTTCGGGGAAAAGGATTTTTGATACAATTCCCTCAAAACATTATTTTGCAAAACATATGTTTTCCGCCATCTTTTTTCTCAACCATGGACTCTTAGTACGTAACGGTCCATGGTTGAGTAAAAATCCTCGGTCTGATATTTCACAGTACAGACCTCACGCTCGGTCAATAAGCCGTTATTATTATACACGGTCACATGCCATTGACCAATAACGAGTCTTCAATAAGGTCACTACTGCTAATGAGCAACAAGACGCTCTCCCAAGCGTCAGTCACTGAGGTTTTGCATGTATAAGCGGTGTCTTTTTGCAGAGAACTGGTGTGGTTGTCGGTGTTTTATTAGTGCCGTTGCTTGGTTTTGCCTTTTGGTATTGGAATTTATTCAATGGAAGCAAAAACAAAAGAGAGATCTCTACGGAGCTAAGCAGTTCAACAATCCAATACTTTAGAACAGAGGAATTTGTTGTTGAGAAAAGTGTTTACTTCACAGTTAAAACGCTTTCTATATAACGTTTTTATAATTATGTAGAATTTTAAATAAATCCACCGTAGTAAAATGTTCACAATTTATTCTCCTATGTACAATAGAAAACGTTCTTTTAATAATTCTGTAGTCTTAACGTTACATGACGTTCTTGCTTTTTCGTGTCCAGTCCCCTCGGCCGAGCTATGTATAGTCGAATAGCGATTTTCACTCGGTGGAGATTTCGGCATTCCAGGGGGCTCATTAAGTATTCAAGTTGGTTTGTAAAATGAGGGGGTTGTTCAACAAAATTTCTCATTCGAACCAGAATCCAAAACACTATTCACAGTGTTATTTTCAAGCTTGTGTCTTCAGATTTTCATCTTTTATTTCGGTATTTACAGAATATTTATATTTTTAGCGCGGCCCGTGAAACGTACACAACACAGCTGTTTACATCCTAGGGGTTTGGAAAAACCGGAAATCGATTCTACAGGTCAAATAGACTTGCTCCAAGTCTCTCTTTGTGGAGACCCACTATATTGTACGTTACATGACGTACCGCTGAGGGGGAGAGGAGGAAAGAGAAGAGAGACTTG